ATCAAAGAGGATGCTTTGGGGAGGCAGTGACAGCAAAGGAAGCTGACTTGGTGTTCCTTGCACAGTTGTGTTTGTATTCCCTGCACAGTTCCCACAGCCCTGTGGCAGCACAGGTGTAACCCACAGCCAGAGGAATGGGAGTTATTTACCCTAATAACAACAGGTCTCAGTAAATCTGGCTAAAATTGTGTAAAAGCTGCTGCAAGGAGAGAAAATCCCATGCCCCAGGTTCCACCAGGGCTGCAAAGGAGAATTGGTGCCTGTTCTTCTGCCAATCCCCATTATTGTTAATGAGCCCTCCCTTTAGCAGCCTGTGTTTGCAGTGATCAGCAGGACAGCACTAGAGGCTTCAGCAGTCCCCATAATTTCCAGCATTCCCTGGGACATTCTGCCCCTTGTAGCAGCTCTGGTTTCTCACACTCTGCCCTGAGAGCCTCTCTGGGTGTCCCCTCTCTCTGGCTCCCCTGCAGGTCACACACCCCACCTTGGCCATTCACCTTCTCGGTTTGGCTTTTCCCCAGGTCAGAAATTCCCTGCTGGCCTTCAGCTCTCTGGCTGATGTAGGGCAGGGACAACCATCCCAGTGAGAGCTCTTGGGGCTGAAAAATCCACTGTGCTTCACTGAGTAAGAGCTGTGCTTTGCAGAGATATCTACTTTAATTTTGCTTTATGATTCCCATGTTTTCCAGTACCAGTTCAGTATTAATTATTCCTTCTGAAGAAGAGGGGCTTCAAGTTCCTCTTCCCTGCTGGAATGTGGCTTCCACCCTGAGCTGTGTGTGTTCTGTACTTCATGCTGCAGGAGATACAGATATGGAAAGATGCAGCTAAAAAAATTGCTTTTCCAGAAACCTCTCCTGTATTAGAATCCCAGAATGATTTAGGTTGGAAGGGACTTTGAATGTCATCTCATCCCACCCCTGCCATGGCAGGGACACCTCCCACTGTCCCAGGCTGCTCCAAGCCCTGTCCAGCCTGGCCTTGGGCACTGCCAGGGATCCAGGGGCAGCCACAGCTGCTCTGGGCACCTGTGCCAGGGCCTCAGCACCCTCCCAGGGAACAATTCCTAATTCCCAATATCCCATCCATCCCTGCCCTCTGGCAGTGGGAGCCATTCCCTGTGCCCTGTCCCTCCATCCCTTGTCCCCAGTCCCTCTCCAGCCCCCTGGGACCCCTTTAGGCCCTGCAAGGTTGATGTTTTCCTTCAGCACCCATTTCTCAGAAATGTCTTTTCACTTCAGAGCTCTTCCTCCTTCCCCAGGCCCCCCATCACAAATCTCCTCAGCTGAGGGTTGTATGGGAGGGTTAATGTTTTCCTTCATCCAGGCTGACGTGGAGCAAAAAGCTTTTCCTCCCCTTCCCCCCTTTCCCGGGGAGCCTTTGGAAATGAAGGCTGCAAATCACATTAGATTGTATTTCACTAAAGGTTTCTCTGTCCTAGAAAACTCCTGCCTCCTCCTGAAATACACTCAGCTTAAGAAGAGACTAATATATTTACTCTAACTGTGCTCAGTCTAGGAATAATTTTGCTGTAGAGATTAAATTTTTATATCATCGTGAAGAAAACCAACTCCTTCCAGTCCCCAGGGATCCCCTGTCTGACTGTTCCAACAGGAGGGGCTCAGATCTTGGCAGCTCCAAGTGGTGTCTTGCTTTTTCTTTTCCCTTCTATTTCTGCAGTATAATAGCAATAGATTCCATTTGTTCCAAAGTTCAGAATTTTTAAGAGACTCTGAAAAAAAAAATAATCCCATTTTAGCTTTGGGTGAGTATGCCTCTGGGATGAGTGAAGCTTGTGGCTACTCAGAACTCTGATCTGCACCAACACCTCATCTCCATGCAGCCTGTTCCCATCTCCTGAGCTTGCAGAATTCCCTAGGGGATGAATTCACTCCAAAGATGATGATTTTTGGTGGGGATTAGTGCTGTTTATCACTACAGGTAGTCTGGAACAGGCATCAGGAGAGACTTTCTGGCAGAGGTTCAGCACTTCTGCTTTGTGCCTGCCCAGAATGATGAAGGATTTGCTCTGTGACTTGAGACCAGTCCTGACTCTTTGCTTTCATCCTTTTCTTAGGGGAAACGAGCTGATAGCACCATGCTCTTTTCCTTTTTTGCTCAGGCTGTCTCTGTGTGTCACTTCTGGCCCTTGCAGGCCAATTCCAAGCAGGTTTCATGGAATCACAGAATATCCTGAGCAATCACATGGGCTGGGCTCAGGATAATTCCTGAAATTAAAGCAAAGGCACCCCAAGTTCATAGAAAGGTGCCCAAAAAAGTGGTGAATAAAAGCCAATGAATGGGTTGACTGGCTGAGGATGTGCTGTCACCATTTGTGTTCAGTTCTGCCCCTCCTGAGGCACCTTTTCGGCCAGCTGGGAACAAATTCTGTTTGGACATGAATTGTCTTCCTTGCCAAACATTCTTGACCCTTGCTTGGAGTGCCACACACCAGAGTGACATTCCTGAATTCTCCCAACAGCCTGGGCTGGAGAGGAAGCATTGAACCAGCTCAGAGACAGACAGGGAATCCTGCCTGGCACACCCCACCTGGCAAATTTCATCTCCATGGCTCTCCTTGCAGGTGCTCTCCTGCAAGACAGGATGGTGGGCTCATGGTGGTGCCCTGCCCACCACAAATGGATCCATGTGATTGATTCCTCTGGTTTATCAGCATTTACCAGCTTCAAGGAGTAGAAAGACAGAATGTGCAGAAATGAATGGAATGAGCAGAGAGAAATGGGTGCTGTCCCCCAGGCTGGCATGGCCTCGGTGGTTGGTGGTGTTCTGAGCACTGTGGGAAATTCCTCACCTCGAATTCCAGGTCCTTCACTGTGCTGGGGAGCACAATTCCCTCACCTGAGCCAGAGATAAGAACCTCTGGAGACTGGCTGGGATCTTGCTGGGGATGGATTAGCCTTGGAGGGATCATCCTTCCCTGCTGGTTAGAGTGTGGAGCTCTGGGACAAGCACTGCCTTGGTGTCTGAGCTGTTGATCTGTTATTAGCTGTTGGTAATAACCTAAGTTTGTCATTTTAAAGCCTGCTTCTAACAGAGCCAGGTGCTGGGATGTCCCTGGCTCCCATGTCCCACTGAGTGTCCTCCATCCCTGGAGCCTCTGCCCCCCTCAGAAAGTCCCCACTTCCCTCCTCACAGGTCTGTGGCTTTTTTACAGAAAGTAGAAGTACTGGAGCAGGGAGAAATGTGTTCAAAGGAATCAAGAAAAGCAAAATTTAGCTTTAAAAGCAAACTGGGAGATACTGAGGGTTCCCAGAGTGGAACCACTTGGGGTTGGGAAGTTCACAGAGTGATCTGCTGAGCTTCTGCAGGCCACAAAGTGCCCCCCATCCCAGCCTTCCTGAGCGATCCCCTGGCTCCTGCTCAGCCTGGAGCTGGGAAAGGCAGCCTGGATGTGTGATCACAGCCTGGGGCTCCTGGCAGCTGATTTGTTGTTATCGTCCTCAGATAAAATCTAATCAAGCCCAGTGTGGTCAGAGGGGCTCTGATACAGCAGGGAAGGATGTTGAGAGCTTCCTTGTCAGAAGGAATAATAATAATAGTAATAATAATAATAATACCAACAACAATGATGATGATAATAGTAATAGTAATAATAATCAGAATCCTTCAAACTGTGCATCCAACTATCATTTACATTCCCAGCTCATTTTTTTCCTGTCTCTCAATGGTACTTTTTGAGGAAAAAACTATTTAAATCTCTGAGCAGGCAGGAATGTTTTGTCCAGGACAGTGGAAGTCAGTGGTAGGTTTGGGAGCTGGACCATCCTCAAGGTTATTGTCCCTTCAAAAGCTTCAGAGGTGACAAAATCTGTCCTGTTTTTAGTCAGGGCTCTGCCATTGAAACAATGGGAATATACCCTGGTGTCTTTCATTATTAAAAAACCAAACAGACAAAAAAGCAAACCAAAATTCATCATTATTATTTTTGTGTTTCTGACAGAAAGAGAGTGTATCTCTGCTAATGAAAAATATTAAAATTCCAGGTGTCCCATCTAATAAATAATAACATGAGCATGGACTTGTCTTCCCACAGCCACCACCAAATCATCCATGGAGCTCTTTATGTGCAGCTCATTTTGAACTTTGCCTATTTCCTTTAGCTATGCAGATATAAATAAATAATTCCCCTTGATAAGGGTCTAGGAACACTGTACTTTAAAAGATAAGAAAGGTTTGAGGGGAAACTGTTTTTAAATCCCTGCCATTTGTATGCTGTTCACTGTTCACACTGAGCAAAAATTCATTCAGCTGGCACTTAACCAACCCTGTTTTATTCTTGCTCTGTGTTCAACCTATCCTTCTCCTGGGAACATCTAACCTTGCATGTAATTACCTCTCTGAGAGTGGGAAGGAGGCCTGGATAACCTCCCCACCAACTAAATAAATGCACAGATCCTGGGACAGGTTATCAGCTGCACGCCAGGGGCAGGGCTGGCAGGAGCAGCGTGCCCGAGCCGTGAGGAATTGCAAGACTTGAGTCATTTTTATTCCAGCATTGGGCCAAAGAAGGAGGGAGGACATGGAATGTCTGCAGAAAACCAACCCAAACCAGCCAGGAGCCCAAAACTACCAGCATTTTTAGAGTATTTTTTTTCCTATGGGAATTGGAAATAACAGTGATGGGTTTTACCAAGGATGGGTGTTACCAAGGATGGGTTTCACCAAAAATGGGTTTTACCAAGGATGGATTTTACTAGAGATGGGTTTTACCAAGGATATATTTTACTAGAGATGGGTTTTACCAGTGATGAGTTTTACCCATGATGAGATTTACCAGGGATGAGTTTTACCAATAATGAATTTTACCAGGGATGAGTTTTACAAATAATGAGTTTTACCAATGGTGAGTTTTACCAGGGATGAGTTTTACCAATGATAAGTTTTACCAGGGATAGGTTTTACCAGGAATGAGTTTTACCAAAAATGGGATCTACCAGGGATAGGTTTTACCAGAGATGTTGTTTTTGTTTTCCCCCCAGGTCTCTCCAAGTCCCTTGGTCTCATTGAGGGCTATGGTGGCCGTGGCAAGGGTGGCCTCCCAGCCACCCTGTCCCCCGAGGAGGAGGAGAAAGCCAAGGGACCCCATGAGAAATATGGCTACAACTCCTACCTCAGTGAGAAGATTTCCCTGGATCGTTCCATCCCGGATTATCGTCCCACCAAGTAAGTGCCGGGGGCTCCAGGAGGGAATGTTTGTGTTCAGGAGTGCTGGTGCTTTCCCAGTCAGCTTTGGTGCTGCTGGCTCTTCCCTCATCATTCACAGGGCCCTGCTCAGTGATGAGAAACTGGAGTGGCTGGGCTGGGATGAGCTCACGGAATCACAGAACCACTGATGTTGGAAAAGCCTCAAAGGTTATTGAGTCCAACTGTTCCCCAGCACTGCCAAGGCCACCAGTGACCTGTGTCCTCAAGTGCCACATCAACAGAGCTGTTAAACCTCTGCAGGGGTGGGGATGCACTGCCCTAGGCAGCTGTGCCAGGGCCTGGCCACCCTTTTTGTCAGGAAATCATTCCTAACATCCAACCTAAACTTCCCCTGGCACAACTTGAGGCTGTTTCTGCTTGTCCTGTCAGTTGATACCTGGGAGAAGAAACTGATCCCCACCTGGCCCCACCTTTGTTCCAGGTAGTTGGAGAGAGTGAGAGTTCATCAAGATGATTTATCAGGGGAAAAAAAAGTTAATTTCTTCCCAGTCTGTCTCTGTTTTCCTAAAGCAGTCCATGATTTTGGGTGGAAGTGGTGCCATCAGAAGCTCAGCTCTGCTTTCACTAAGGTTTTGGTGTTTAATGCCCTGTAAAAGTGTGCAGAGATTCTCCCTCCTTGTCAGCTCCTTCCTGTCCCTGCAGGACCTCCAGGGCCCTTGGGCTGCCCTCAGGCTCCTCCCAGCACAGGGATCCTCCAGGGACATTCTGGGATCTCCCATTGGAAATCTGAGCCTTTAAAGGGAGTTTCTACAGTGGCAGTATCCTTCCTCTCATTTTCTGATTGAGCTTTTTAAACACTGGTGATGTTTACCTGCCAAGCAGCACAGAACAGGCTTTAGAAGAGGTGACACATCATTTTGTTAAGAGGATGAGGAAAGACATGCTGCAAGTTTATCTTTGTGAAGGTTAATTTAAGATATGGCTGCCAGAGTGTTCCTCAAAATAGGAAAGTGTCAGTTTGTCCAGGTCTGGAGTGAAATCCCTGCTAAAAAAATGAGCTGAGAGAGGTTTAGATTGTGAAAGATCCATGTCCAATGCCTGTGTCATTGGAGCAGTGACAAAGCTGTTGCCTGGCACCTTCAGACCATTGAAAACCATGCAGCCAGGGATGCAGCTCTGTGTGTCAGGTGGTGGCAGAGTGTCCAGGCTGTGGCAGCAGGGGCAGCTCTTGTTCCTTCACCTCTCTGGGTGCTCCAGAGTGTCCAGGCTGTGGCAGCAGGGGCAGCTCTTGTTCCTTCACCTCTCTGGGTGCTCCCTGAATTCTGAGCAGCCCCTTGGAGCATCCAGGGCTGTCAACCACTAACAACAGAAATCCCTGGATGAGTTTTCAAAGGAATGGAGGCCCAGGCTGCATTGTGCTGCTGCAGCCCCTCCAGGCATGCTGATTTGCAGGTACAAACTGCACCTTTGCCTCTGTGATATGCAAATCTCAGCACAATGCTGGATCCTTGGAGCGAGACCTTCTCCAGCACTTAACTGAGGCTGAGCTGCTGATTTCCATTTCTCATCCACAGCTCTGACTTCCAGCAGAGCCAGCATTACTTGGCGAGAATTAATTTGAGAAGTAATGTTTCTTTTCAGATTTGGGGGGAAGAAAAGGATTAATTCTGACATTTTCAGGTTTGCGTTGTATTTTTCCTCAGTTCCACTATCCATCATTCCATGGGAGAGTGGGGGAGAGGACAGGGCACAGCACTGCATTTACAATGCTTCAGTTTGGAGTTGGGCTGAGGCTTGGGAGGGAATTTGTGGGTACTGAGTGCAGCTGCACAGCTTAATGCCTTTTATCTGTGTAAGAACTTCAGGAGTGCCTTTTGTTTATTGGTTTTCTTTTTGTTTTGGGGATCAGTTGTCTTGATATTGTAAGAGAGCAATTGGTCTGGTGTGTAATAGGCTGGAGTTTGCTGGAGAATTTGGAAAGTTTCACCTCTTCCTACCTCTGGCTTCAAGGTTCCCTTGCTATTTAGTGCATAAAGTTTTATGGCTGATTTTATGAAGGGTTGAACACAAACCATTTAAGTCAAGTATCCTGGTCTCTGATTAAAATAGATTCAAGTCAGGGGAAATTAGCCTAAATGGCTTTGAAATTGCAGCATTAGTGGGGAAAAACTGTTGAAAACCCTCCAGCTGATAAGCATTACAAAGCATGTAGTAGTTTTAAATATAATAGTGAAGCTGTGTGGTTCACTAAAGGCTGCAGAGTGTCTGGAATGCCAATGGACTGGCACTGGTCCTGGCACAGGCTGGCACACCCCAGCCTTTCCTCTCAGTTTTCCCTGTTTTTAAGGAAAGATTCATGTGGTCAAATGCAACTGCCCTGAGTGCTGAGCAAAGCTGCATCAGAGTTCTGAGGCCTTTTCCTGCTCCTTTTTTTGTGCCTGTGCCCAAAGGGAAGTGAAGCAAGGAGAGTTATGGGGAAGTTTGCCACATTTTGTGTATATTTTTGTATCTCCAGCCTCCCTGCACCTCGTGGTCAGCACCACTGAGGGTTCAGGGACTCAGACATCCCTGCTCTGAGGGATTTCAGGAGCTGTTGGTGAGTCCAGCTCACAGCTCAGGGCCTCTCAGTCCTGCCCAGAGGCAGAGAAAGGAGGAAGTTCTCCTGGGAAAGTGGCCCCAGAGGTGTGAGGATGATGTTCAGGAGAAGGTGAGGTCTTTCCCAGCCCTAGGAGCTGTGGCAGAACACCTTGTTTGCCCTGATTTGGGGAATTGTGCTGTCACTTTCTGGTAATTTGGATTACCATATTTGTTTTAGTTGAGCCATTTCCTTCCCCTTTCCTTTCCCCCTTCCCTTTCCCCCTTCCTCCTCCTCTCCCCTTTCCCCCTTCTCTTTTCCTTTTTCTCCTCTCCCCTTTCTTATTCCACTTCCCTTATCCCTTCCCTTTTCTCCTTCTTCCCCTTCCCTTCCCCATCCCCCCTTCCTCCTTTCCCCTTTCCTTTTTTTACTTCCCCTTCCCTCATCCTCTTTCCCCTTCCCCTTTCCTTTTCCCATTTCCCTTCTCCTCTTTCCCCTTCCCCTTTCCTGTTCCCTTTCCCCTCTCCTCTTTTCACTTTCCCTTTCCTGTTCCCTTTTCCCCTCTCCTCTCTTCCTCTCCTCGTTCCCCTTTTCTGCTCTCCCCTTTCTCCTTTGCTGCTGGGGCTGCTCACCTGGGCTGGGAGGTGGAAACTCTTCCCTGCCATTCCCCACTGAGGGATTTGGGGTTGCCCTGGGCTGATTCCCAGAGCAGTGGTGCCAGAGGTCTGGGATGACCTGTGTGGAGCTGATTCCAAACAGCAGCTGTGCCTGCCACACCTGGACCTTACTGATGTTCCTGGTCCCAACCCTCTGCAGGGCAGGAAAGGTTGTGCTGGGTGTGCAAAACATTTTCCAGTGAAGCAAGTAACAAATTCCAGCTGGGATGGCTGGGAAAGCTCTTCTGGTGTTTTGGGGTGAGTTATCCCAGAATTTGTGCCAAGCAGTGCCATAATGAGAAGGGCACTGGGACCACATGCCTATCATGCTCGATTGGGTTTTTTGGCTTTAAGATGAGATTCCTGCATATTCTGGAAAACAGTCTCTGCTTCCAGATTGGAAGTACCCAAGGTGCTGCCTGCAGCCTGCAGGACTTCTACACAAATCTTCACAAAAATGAGATGAAGAAATTTTTCTCAATTTTCTGCAAAAGCCTCTGAAGGACAAGGCTGCTGTGTGAATTTTATTGTTTATCCATTCCCAGCACTCGCTGCCTGCCTGGGGAGGATGGGGGGGTTTGGGAGATGTGTTGTTTTCTATATTGAAAGTGAAGCATATTTACATGGGATCCCAGTGCCTGCAAACATTCCCTGCTTGGATACAACATTTTATGCACCTCTGTTTTATCCTGTGATACAAGATTTAATGGGAACCTCTCCTATGTGTAGCCAGAAAATAAAATTGCTTTGTTAGATCAGCCTGCCTGTCCATCTTATCCAGTATCTAATCTCTGATAGTGGAATTACCAGATGCTTCAGGTTGAAGAAATCATATTAAGGGAAACTATGAAATAATCTGCCCATCTGGTACATTCTGCCTCCCCCATTCTCTCCTTTCAATCCTATCCAACCTAAATGTGGAGTTCTCATTATCTCTTTAAAAGTCTGTTCTTTTCTAGAATCCTGCTAAGCTCTGATTCAGTGGTATTTTATGGCATTATAGGATTAAGGGGTAGATTTAAGAGAAATAATACCCACAATTGTTAGGACTATTGGATCATTGGGTGCAGATGACACATTCCTGCTGCTGCAAATCTCTGGACAACTGTTCTCAGGAGGGGAGCCTCGAGCTATTAAAGTGAAGAGCAAGGATGGTGTAAGAGATAAGCAGCTCCCACAGCTTGATTTTTCACATGTTTTGAGGGCTTCCCAGCCAGGAGACACAACCCCTTCTCCTGTCTGCCTTGGGCTCCTGCAATGGGTCAGAAAGTGCATGGAAAGGTCCCTGGACAAGGGGATGTAGAGGTAAGATGAGGGGGAATGGCTTAAAAATGCCAGAGAGCAGTGTTAGATGGGATATTGGGAAGGAATTCAATTCAAGAACAGGTTACCCAGGGAGGCTGGGGCTGCCCCTGGATCCCTGGCAGTGCCCAAGGCCAGGCTGGACAGGGCTGGGAGCAGCCTGGGACAGTGGGAGGTGTCCCTGCCATGGCAGGGGTGGCACTGGATGGGCTTTCCAACCCAAACTCTTCTGGGATCCTCTGATGGAAAAGGTTTGGAGGTGCTGGGAGCCTGATTTACTGCTGTGTTCTCACAGCACCTGGTCCGTGTTTGCCCTGGGACCCTGTGGAGAGGTGCCCTGGGCAGAGCCCCCCCTCACCTCTGCTGAAGAGTTCCACAGCCCTGCCTGCTGGAACTGTTCCCGTGGTGTTTGGGCTGAGGCAGAGCCATCCCCCTGCAGGTCTCAGTGCCTGAATCACCCGTTTATTTCTGGAGCTGCTGCCCTG